CCCTTCAGGTACTGGGAGGTGCTATAATAAATCCATCTCAGTGCTCAGTAACATAGGCAGTGCTGCCTTGTTGTGCTCCAGACTCCGGAGCTGTCACCTTTTTGGCATCCTTTTATCCATATCTTATTTATGGCTGGAAGTCAGAGCTACTTTTGTAAAAGAACCAGGCATGGTGTGTGTGGGACTTGGGCATGAGCCCCTTCAAAAGCCAGTGTGGCTGGATACAGAGTTCTGTGAAACAAAATTGAAATAGCACTTGTTGCCCTCTTGAAAGATGGAAGATGGCAAGTGGCCTGCACACTCTAGCTGATTGGTACTCAAGTGTCTATACTTGGTGTGTTTAAGCAACTGTCAGTTTTGATAGAGACCTTCCCCCTCAAATAGCTATGCTGGCTGAAGGAGATAGATTTAAAATAAATATGCTGTGCATAAAACAAATTAAAGCCTCTCTATATCCAAAAATCCATCATACACTGGAGGAGAAATGCAGTGTGAAGAGGAGTCCACGGTTACAGTGAGGAGAAGGGGGTTGGATCCAAGCTGGTCTGGAACACTTTGCCTAGTTTGCTAAAAAATTACTACCCAACTAGAGCTCTTGAGCAACAAAGTTGTTTCCAAGACTGGTTGCATAACTTTGTTCCAAAATGAACTTGTTTCATCCCACTTCTGGTTTTCTTTGTACCTCTGCTCTGTGTTTGGAGTGGGCTAATAAATTTACACAGTTACAACAATGTTAGCCCGGTTGCTGCTCTGTAGCATCCCAAGTTTTCTCTCTCCTCTCTTACTCTCAGTCCCTTGAGCATCCACCCTGCACCAGAAGATTGTTACCTTAACTAATTACATGAATGGCAGAGCTGTGCTATGGGCTAGCCTCAAAACAGCAGACAAACCACAAAAAGCTTTTTAAAAAGCATCAACTTAGGAGCCTGAAGTCTAAAGAGCTAATAGAATGGCAGCCTGTAGCTGAAGGTGGTGGGGAGTGCAGGGTGTCTATTTTTGGTTTTACACTTGCACTGTAAGAAAAATGCTGTGTTTTATCTGTCATATGATTGTGATGCTCAAATGTTCCAGGAGCTGGATAAATTTTAGCTCAGTAAATGTTAATAATATTTATTGTATTAGTAATGGCTATATTGTGTTTTCTCTTAGATCATTAATAGCAATTAGGATGTGAATTTAAAACAAAATACAAAGATGTGCAGTTGTGCATTTCCTTGTTTACAAGGACTGACGTGACATTGGCAGCAGCTTAGAAGATCCCATCTGTACAAAGTGACTTTGGTGATTAACTGACTGTCTGCATTTGACAGTTGCTGCAAGCCTCCTTCTTCCTTCAACCTGGAGCAGAAATACTGTGGGTTGTTTTGGGTTTTTGGGGTTTTTTTTTAAAAATAAATTGATGCTCAACCAACTGGTTCTGTCATTTGTAGGATCAGCGATGACATGAAGCTGACTGACCTGGAACTGGTCAGGCTGGCAAACAATATTCAAGAGTTGCTTTATAATGCCTCTGATATCTGCCATGATCGTTCAGTCAAATTCCTCATGGCAAGAGCAAAGGTAAGGAGCTTGGGTCAGACTGCTGTTGGTGTCTCATCCTTAAGGAGAATTTACTCCCAAGTTACTGGTTTAATGAGTGAGAGTTCTGAAATGACATTCTCAATCATAGAATCATAGAATCATAGAATGGTTTGGATTGGAAGGGACCTTAAAGATCATCTAGTTCCAATCCCCCCGCCTTCAGCAGGGACACCTTCCACTAGATCAGGTTGCTCAAAGCCTATTTAATCGAAATTAAATAACTGTTCCTGCTGCCACAGGAGCTTGGTGTGAATGCCCAGAGTATTGATATATCATGTCATTGTAAAGCAATGTGGGTTTCTGCTACTTTCTTTTTTTTGTCTTTTTAATATTCTGACTTGCTGTCTTTGAAGCTCCATGCAGAGAATGCACATCTATGACAAGGTAGTTGCTTGCACTGCAATCTGCCTTTTCTGTCCCGTGTAGGGTTAAATAACATGCTTCTTAAAATACTAGTAGCCCTCAGGCACGCTGACGAGTTATTTCCTTACATCTCTGAATTTTTTTTGTGGTGTCATGTCTCCTTATGATGTTTTTCTTTGCATCTAGGATGGCTTCCTAGAGAAGCTGAATTCCAACGAGTTTGTTGCTCTTTCTCGTTTGATGGAAGGCTTTATCTTGGATACTGAGCAGATCTGTGGCAGGAAAAGCACATCCTTGCGAGGAGCACTTCAGAGTCAAGCCAATAGATTTGTGAATAGGTTCCATGAGGAGCGGAAGACCAAACTAAGGTATCTCTGGGTAGAAGATCTTTGTGTTCTTACATGAATAATTTTATCAATCACGTGCCAGCCAAACACAGTCTTTTGTTGCCTAGAACACTAGTAAACCAGTTGTACTGAAGAGCAGGAGGTGAAAAAACTGTATTAAAACCCAATTATTTTCAATTGGTTTAGACTTTTACTGTTTTCATAACTTAAATAAGGACAGTAGAAGCTACAGGAAGTACTCAAGGCTGACATTAAAGGGCAGGATTGCTCTGGCTCACAGGCTTACGTGTCTTATCATAGAATCATAGAATCACAGAATGGTTTGGATTGGAAGGGACTTTAAAGCTCATCCAGTTCCAACCCCCCTGCCAGCAGCAGGGACACCTTCCACTAGACCAGGTTGCTCAAAGCCTCATCCAGCCTGGCTTTCAACACTTCCAGGGAGGGGGCAGCCACAACTTCCTTGGGCAACCTGGGCCAGTGTCTGACCACTCTCACAGTGAAGAACTTCTTCCTAATATCTAATCTAAACCTCCCCTCTTTCAGCTTAAACCCATTTCCCCTTGTTTTGTCATTAGCTGTCCTTATGAAAAGTCCCCCCTCAGCTTTCTTGTAGCCCCTTCAGGTACTGGGAGGTGCTATAAGATCTCCCTGGAGCCTTCTCTTCTCCAGGCTGAACAGCCCCAACTCTCTCAGCCTGTCCTCACAGGAGAGGTGCTCCAGCCCTCGGATCATCCTGGTGGCCCTCCTCAGGAGGTCTTCAGGATCATTCACTTCCAACTGTTTTTGTGTTGTTTGTTTTTTTTAATCACAAACAAAAAACAAACCCCAAACAAACAAACAAAACACCCCAACCCAAAAAAACCTCCAACAAAACCAACAATTAAAAAACAAAAACCAAACCATTTGAGGGACAGCCTTCCCTGTAACATACATCAAGTCTTTCTGCTCTCTTCCATCAAAAGCTCTTAAAATTCCAGTATTTTCACATTACTTCAAGTGATCATAAGGGTCTTTATTGCCTAGTGTAGTCTTTTGTCCTCTGTGATAGAACAAACAAGTGGTGAGATCTCTAGGCCATCACTGTGTTTTTCTGTTTTGCTACTGCCAATTGTCGGACACCTCATTCTAATGAAGATGAATAACGTAACATTTTGGGCCGCTGGCTTGTTAAAAATTACTGTAGTTTGGATTCCACAACCTTACAGGCAGGAGAAGCATCAAGACAAGGTATTTAATTTCTCAACTTCCTCTCTTTTGTGTTTATAACTAGCCTACTGTTGGACAATGAACGCTGGAAGCAAGCTGAAGTTCCTGCCGAGTTTCAGGATCTTGTCGATTCGGTGTCAGATGGCAGAATTTCTCTCCCTGAAAAAAAACCAGCAGGTGTGTATCTTGCAGTTCCACTGTTAAGTGAATTTATCATCAACAAATGTTGCTATTGAATGTTGATGGACATATTCTGATGTCACTCTTGATCTGATTTGATACCTATTTTCCTTTTTTTTTTTCCTTCATTTTTTTCTTTTTTATGTTACTTGTGTTGAAAATTCTTGTGCTGACCCTTAAAGATTTTTTTGTTTGTTTTGAAAACCCATTTAAGTGTTAGCACAAGGAGGGAGCTGGTTTTTTTATACAAGTATTCCCAGTGCAGAGACTTTACAGTCTTTGCCCAAATTCAGTCTTTCCCCAAAATGTACCACTGAAGTGTTGCAAGGGACCGAGGAGCACGTGTGTGTGCTCAGCCCACATTTGTGTTAAACAAAGCTTGCTCCTTCCCACTACTTCATCTGCCCGTTGTTCACATGAAGTAGTGCTACGTGGCTGCTCATGGAAGTGAAAACTCATGTACACTCAATTATTTACCTTGCCACAGAAACCTTATTTGACCTCAGACATGTCACTTGTTTCTCCTCATGTCCCATTTCCCACTGTGCAAAATTGAAATGCATAATGTGTTCTTTCCTCGTGGGGATACTTGTCCAGTATTGTAGTGAGGAATTGTGTGAGCAGCTAAAAGAGGAGGAAAATATACATAGAGGGGAATGAAAATGGCCATAGATGTGAAGGAAGAAAATACAGTAATGTCATGATGGAGAAACTGTGATCTCCCACAAGGAATATAACAGATACAGAGAGCGTGTTAGGCAATAATCACTCCAGTTATGGAACACAACACCAAAATATACTCATCAACCATTGCTCTTAAATCAGCTTTTGCAACTCCCTTCAAGAAGATAGAAAACTGGTGGCATCAAATGTAGCATGCAAAACTGCATCAGTAAGAGCTTCTACGATGAAGCCAAAGGAAGAAGTGCTTTAAAGCTAAAATATTAATATACACAGCAAATCATTTGAGAATGTACAGTAGAAAACCTAGTGACTCTGTGTCTTTTCTTTTTCTAGTTGTAGCCTGTTGTATTTGAAGTTTCTAAGTCCATAATGACTGTGGGACTTTGGGGGATTTTTGATCTAAAACCCCAGCAGATAATGAAGTAACTTTACAGGTCGTTATAATTATGATGGGTGAACAACTATATAATAAATATTGTAAAAGAGAGCAGTGCTCCAAAGATTGATTATGGTTTTTTTCAGGCCTTAACAATTGAACACTAAGTTTTTTTTTAAACTTGCATTATTTTTTTTACTTGTTTTTAGTTCAACTCATCCCTTTTCCTTTCTTGCTAAAATGTCTAGCTACTGAAGAAAGAAAGCCAACTGAATTTCTTATTGTTGAAGGACAAAAATATGCAACTGTTGGGTAAGGTGCACACTTTTCTCTTAGCAGTGGGTTAGTTGGCAAGAATGTTTGAGTAGAACTGTGATGAATACTAACAGCTTTAACAATCTTATTTAAATAAAAACCCCTCTCCTTCCACAGACTAGTTTATCTTTAGTTCCCAAACAGTTATAAAACGTTGCAAGCTTTTCTGTACATTAAAATGCTGTTTCTTCTCTGAGTGTCTAGGCTGAAATTTATGGTTTCATTTGAATATCATTGGGGTTTTCTATGATTGTTTCATGAAAGCACATAGGCATGAAAATGCAGGTTTGTCTTCGTAGCACACTGTTGTTATTTCTTGCAATATAGGTTATCTCTGGTAAAATCACAGAATCATAGATTTGGGTTGAAAGGGACCTTAAAGACCATCTAGTCCCACCCCCTGCAGTGAGGAGGGACATCTTCAACCACATCAGGTTGCTCAAAGCCCCGTCCAACCTGACCTTGAATGTTTCCAGGGATGGGGCTTCTACCACCTCTCTGGGCAACCTGGGCCAGGGTTTCACCAACCTCAGTGTGAAAAACTTTCTTCCTTTTATCTAGTCTGAATCTGTCCTCTTTTAGTTTAAAACTAATTCCCCTTGTCCCATCACTACAGGCCCTGCTAAAAGGTCTGTCCCCATCTTTCTCACAGGCCCCCTTCAAGTATTGAAAGGTGCAATAAGATCTCCCTGGAGCCTTCTCTTCTTCAGGCTGAACAGCCCTAAAATACATGAGTCCACTACTGAATGGTTGCTTATCTTATTCAGAATAAATTCTGTGCTATCTTAGAAGCTACATATGCTATTTCTTGGTATTCTGATTGCTTTTTGGTAGCTACATAAAGCTGGTTTTATCAAAGACATTTTAAAATACATGATACTCACACACTTCTTTCATTTAAAAGCATGCTGTGTTTCCAAAGCCTGGGATGCTTAAGTATTAAATATGCATGAGAGTATTTTTGGGTAGGGAGTAAAACCTGGAGATCTCACTCCCCAGAGTCCTAACATCAATTTACCCCAAACTTAAAAGTTCCAATTTACATCATGTCTTTGACCAGCTGTCATTTTAGGAGTTGCTTCATGATGATGTGTCATTGTTCAATTAGAAACAGAAGCTGATGCCTCAGAACTACTGTGCCTGCTGGCTGATATCACTGCAAAAGAGCATTTCAGGTCGAGTAAGAGCACTTCGACATGCTTTATAGGATAAAATTTGCTTAATAGATGATGTGTTTGATAATCCATCTCTACTCATTTGAAACTTGCTACGTTTAGCTCTGTGAAGCAATTATCAGCTTCATGTTGGCACAAATACTTGTTTCAGTTCTGCAAACTTCTACATACAGTTTCACTGAATTTAATTTAAATGCATTCACGAAAAAAAAAGCCTAGGTGTTATAGAATCACAGAATGGTTTGGGTTGGAAGGGACCTTAAAGCTCATCCAGTCCCAACGCCCCTGCCAGCAGCAGGGACACCTTCCACTAGACCAGGTTGCTCAAAGCCTCATCCAGCCTGGCCTTGAACACTTCCAGGGAGGAGCAGCCACAGCTTCTCTGGGCAACCTGTTCCAGTGTCTGACCACCCTCACAGTGAAGAATTTCTTCCTAATATCTCATCTAAACCTCCCCTCTTTCAGCTTAAACCCATTTCCCCTTGTTTTGTCATTAACTGCCCTTATGAAAAGTCCTTCCCCAGCTTTCTTGTAGGCCACTATAAGATCTCCTCGGAGCCTTCTCTTCTCCCCAGAGATTCTCCAGGTGTTTATTTTCAGTTGATTGTTCATCATCTTTCTGCACTCTACTGCCTAGAAGAAGAGATTTTATTTTTTGAAATGTTAGAATATATATTCTGAACATTTGATCTTGCCTTAGTTTTCTTGCCTTCTGTGTATTTGAATTCAAAGGAACATAGTTGCTCCTTGTGGAGCCTTCTTAATTCCATCCAGTAGCTCCTAAATTCTCCAGTGCTTGCTGAATTCAGGGGAAATTACGGGTGCTCAGCATCTTTGAATATTTGGTGCTGTTTCTTCACAGCTGCCTTCTCTGCTTGTGACTCTTTAGCGTCCATTACATCCTTTTCAATAGTGGTTGTTGTTTACATTCGGTGGATTTTTATACTTGCTCAAAATTGGCCACAATTATACAGTAATATAAGAAAGGAGCTTTGGATTTTTTTTGTCCTCTACCAACAACTACATGGAGACTTCTAGTTCCACAGTAGCTTTTTTTGGAGATTAAAAAGTTACACCAATGAACCTTAGAGGTTTTTTCTCATGTGTGTTATATACTTTTTCCACACCACCCTATGGGATGGGTATTCTTTATAAACATCTTTATGTATATCTTCTTTTATGTTTTATTTCTACTTCAGATCAGTTAGTGGGTTTATTTAATGCTATGATCTCTAGCAGTAGGTGGCTTTCTATCAACGTGACTGGCTTGTGTTTGATTTTTCAACGTTTTCTATGCACTGAGATGATATATTTGGCTGTTTGCTCTCTTGTAGGACAGTATTGCTGTTAATAAGAATAATCCTCGAGTACTGCCAGTGTGTGGATAATATTCCTTCCATCACCACTGACATGCTTACCCGCCTGTCTGATTTACTGAAGGTATGAGTCCAGATACACCATCTGTGCCAATCAGGGGTATTCAGTATATCTTACTCTCTGTAGTGCTTCACATGCTTTTATGATTTCATATACATGATATAAATTGTCTAGAAATTATTACATTTATTACCTAAGATTGCCTTTTAAGCTAAGGGCATTAAAGGTGCAATTTGTTGTCTTTCCTCTTGTTCATATTGGAAATCCCATCTAGTAGTGTTTGTCATAGCTGCCTGTCCTTCAGGCTGGGTGTAGGATTAATGCTGCTGAAGAAAAAGCAATTTGATCCCAGATGCCACAGATTTATATCTATATTCAGGAAGGAAACAGGTCACTTTGTTTTTACAAGTCAGTAGAGGTAGAGTCAGTAGAAGCATGAAAAACAGCACAAGATGAAGCTTCTGTTGTAAAATGTGAAGGTGATGAAAGACCAGGACCTTTTTGTCATTTATTTCTCACTAGAAAAGAGAGAAGCTGGAAAAGCACAGATACTACAAGGTAATAGAAGTAAACAACAATAAAAGGAGCACATGAATGCACCTTCAAACTGTCATATATAGATATAAGGGCTCCAAAGCCTAGCAGTTAACTTATTTCAAAGTTTTCACTTGTGTCTTTGCCCACAAAGCTTATGTCAGGTATTAGAGTTCTGAACATAAGCATAATCAATAGAAAATGAACAGATTCTACTCTCCAAAAGTATATTTTATATAAGATGGGGGACAAGGGAGGGGAACCACACCCTAGAAGATGGACCTTTAAATAGTCTTCCTCTTGGTAGTTCTTATCTGAATAACCAAATGCAGGAACACTCCTCCCTGCAGTCATCTTTGAGATTCATCCACAAACCTTCCCCTATGAAAGCACTGTCCAAAGCAAACCAGTCAGTCTGAGACTGGGGACACCCCTCTTCCTCTCTTGTTCTCCACCTGCTGCTTCACTTAAGTCTTGCAGCATCTTTTTGCAGGCAGGCAGAATAGCAGCAGACAGAATCATAGAATCGTTTGGTTGGAAAAGACCTTTGAGATCATCAGATCCAACAGATGCCTCAGACTTGGCCAGATTTGCATCTCCATGTCACTTCTCTCTCCCTACCGTATCTTGTTCTAGCTCTATATCATTTGTGTTTTATTCCTTGGTATTCAAATGTCATGTGCAATTTAATTATTGTATTTCCTGTCTGGCAGCAAGGTGCCATCCCTTGGAGTGATGATGAGAACAGCTAGCAAAAACAAAAGCTCTTTTATTACACTTCAAACAAAATAAGAGCCACTCAAGGTGTCCTTGCAGGTCACTATGCTTTTTGTTTGACAAATGTCAGAGGTAGCAAGCTTTGAAGGTAGCAAGAGCTAGTCTTTATTGTGATGGAAACTGCAAAGTGTTCCCAGGTAATGAAATTCCACTCCATTTTGAACTGTGGCTGTGACCAGAGTGAAATGACACCTCTGTATGGGCAAAAACACAATCATAATTACTGGAGGAATTTATTTGGTGTAGTCAAGAGAAGGCTTGCAGCCACGGTGCCAGAATGCAGAAGTGCTTTCCTCCAGGCAGTCACAAGGAGGGGGTATTGCTCTTTTTGATGTTTCAGGCATGTTGCTTCCTCTCTGCTTGGTCTGCAACAGGCTGTCTGGTAACTGAGTAATATCCACGAAAGGCAGGAGGGGAGCACGAGTGTCTGTCATCCTTTATAGAGTGTGTTTTTAATGGTCTGCCACACAGTCAGTGAGTTGACACTGACCTGAGCTAAATACCTCAGAGGAGCTTTAGGCTGTGTAGGATCTATCTCTTTGGCTCAGTGGATCTGCTCCTAAAGTCCACCAGGAGGCATAATAAAAGGTCTTGCTTTTCAGCAGGAGGAGATGAAGTGAATGTCAGGACAGTTTCAGACCCTGACTTCTGTGTGAGAGCAGAGCAGGTTGTGCCTCTCTCAGGTCAGGGGACACACATAGCTCAGTTGTGGCACGAGGTCTGGGTTGCTTTTCTGGCCCCTGATACAGCACTCTGGCAGCCCAGAGTGGGTGTGTGCGGTTCATGGTGTATCCTCTGTGGTCCTCAGTTTTGTGACTGACTCCAGGCAATAGCTGGAGTTGTTTCCTCTTGTTACTCAAGAAGGGTTGAAATTTTCAGTTTGTTCTTGCATTATTGTGAAGCAAGACCTGTGAAACAGGATTGTGGCCCCAAAACCAAGGAGCTTTATGTGAGGGAAATCCTTTCCGTTGCAGACACAAGCTGCAAGGCAACCTTGTCACAATTTCTTGTGAATCTTTCTTCAGGTACATGAGAAAGGGTCAGCTCACTGTAGATTTTGCCTCCCAGTTTCCACCCCAGTGTCAACAGGACAGTTCTGTTCAAAGGTGAGCCCTGGGGCTTTTGCTCTTCATTCAGTGCAGGAATTGAGGACAACAGCAAGGGTTCCTCCATCTCTACCACACAACCTGAGCCAGTCTAGAATATCTGGTGTCTTAAACTGGGTGATGGAGCAGAATTCCAAACTAAGATAGAATATGCTAACAGGTCTTACTGACCAGAGACTTTGCTGGCCTGTGTGCATTTAACGATGACTTCTTTTCTCCTGGAATTAAGTTAGGAAGATCAAGTCATGAGTCATCCACTAGACCTGGAATTCATACAGAATTGTTTTTTGATGTGATTTAACATCTTCTGTGCATCATTTTTTAATCTCAGTATTTTATATCGTTACAAAGACAGATGCAGCTACCTCAGCAGCAGTGAGTTTCAGTGCTTTCAAGTTTTCTTTAACATCAGCAGTGGGGAAGGTCTAGAGCCAGAGCAGAAACTTGTTCTTTTGGTTATTTTCCATTCTGATATTTCACATGTCTATTCCACTTAACAAAACTCGTGAGATCCTTACCCTGCACTCCATCCAAGGTCCTGGATTGAAAAGTACATTTTATAGGTTTCTAGTACAAAGCTCTTCTTGTGTACAGCTTTCAAAGTAGTCTGCAGCAAGTCTGACTCGCTGCTTTTCTTTCACACTGAGAGCAGCCTCACCCAAAGGTCTTAGAGAAGCAGGAATTGGTCCCTGAATTAAAATCACTGAGTAGCTACCTGTGTTTTTTTAATAGCAGTGTTGCTGCTTCCTGTTGCTGAAACACTGCCTTGAGTGCTTGAGTCAAAAAATACTACGGGGCAGTGACTACTGAGAGTGGTGAAATAGCCATGGATTCCTCTGTAGTAAGGAGTATGTGAAACTCTGGTACTGGTCTTCATAATAATCTATTTACTCTTGCAAAATTCTATTGATGGTATTTCTAAACTCTGGTTATGTGTAGTTGTTGAAGTGTCAACATACATTTTCACTCTCTTTTCCTTTCTTACAGTATTTCAACTCTAGAAGTTGCCAACTAGTGCTCGGAGCTGGTGCATTACAAGTTGTTGGTTTGAAAACAATCACTACAAAAAACCTGGGTATGGATTTCTTCATTTAAAATGTCAAAGCTTGTTCTGCTTGTTAAAAAAAAAACAAACACACACAAAAAAACCCCAAACCCCTGTGTTTTTGTGTTGTGGTGCCATGTATGGTGTATTCTGTAACGCCGTGTCCTGCGGGTTCTAACCGCATGTCCGGAGCGTGCGAGGTGATTTCTGTGGCTGGCCCTGAATCAAATAGTCTTTATGTGGCTGAATGCCCCGATGCAGTCAGGTAACTTAGGGCTCTGTGTCTGTGTGCTCAATCCAAACTCTGATTTGGGCTTTAGAGTTTCTCATTCTCAGTATTTAGCTGCATTGCCAGCCCCAAGTTACCTGCCTGGACTGCTTCAGCTGCTCGTAAAAGCTGGGGAGAACTAGGAGCCCAGTTCCATGCTCCAGAAAAGTCTGGCACACTAGTTGAGATCCCCGGTTTTAAACTATCTCCTGAAATCACAGAATCCCAAAATTGCCTCAATTGGAAAAGACCTTTCAGATCACCAAGTCCACACTGACAAATCACTGACTAACCCTCAGCACTATGTCTACTTGACTTTTCAGTCCCTCCAGGGATGGGGACTTCACCACTGCCCTGGGCAACCCCTTCCAATGCCTCAGAACCCTTTCAGCAAAGAAATTCTTCCTCACATCCCATCTCAACTGCCCTGGGCACAACTTGAGGCCATTTCCTCTTGTCCTGTCCCTCGTTCTTTGGTTGAACAGACCCACCCCCACCTCTCTCCACCCTCCTTTCAGGGACTTGGACAGAGCCAGAAGGTCTCCCCTCAGCCTCCTTTTCTCCAGGCTCAACACCCCCAGTTCCCTCAGCCACAAGGGAACTCATCACACTTGTGCTCCAGACCCTTCCCCAGCTCCGTTCCCTTCTCTGGACACGCTCCAGCACCTCCATGTCCTTCTGGGAGTGAGGGGCCCAAAACTGAACCCAGTACTCGAGATACTAAGAGCCTTAGTACTAAGGTTGGTTGATGGGTTAAAGCAGGTGTTTGAAGTTGCAGTTCCCATGTTGCAGGGTTACCAATCTGCATTTCCTTTTTTTAAGAAGGGAATAACTTGAGGAGGATGGGTTGAGCGGCTTCCCCGCAAGGGACCATGAGCCATAGTCCCAGGAACAGACCCAGCTGAGCAGAGAAAAGCTGGGTCAGGTCTTTGCTCCAGAAGGCTTGGGCAGTGTGGTGACCATGCTGGCCCCAGCATGTGCCCTGCTGCTGGCTCAGGCCCTGTTGGACACAGGAGAAGCTTGGTTTTGGGAATCCAGCCGGCACTGCAGGCAGGAGCAGGCTCTGGGCAGCTCAGCACTGCCAGGGCAGGGTGTTTATATACACCTTCTGCAGAAGAAATAGTGAGGCCTTGAGAATGTGGCTGCTGAGGTTAGGTAGCTGATGAGTCAGGTCTTTTGAGATCTCTCTGATGTCTGCGTGTGCTCAGGGCCCCAGATGTCAAGCAGACACTTAAGACTCTTGTAAAATTAGTCCCTTATCCTGTATCTTACAGAAGGTGGGTATGAGAGGCTGAGAGAGTTGGGGCTGTTCAGCCTGGAGAAGAGAAGGCTCAGGGGAGATCTTAGAGCACCTTCCAGTACCTGAAGAGGCTACAAGAAAGCTGGGAAAGGACTTTTCATAAGGGCAATTAATGACAAAACAAGGGGAAATGGGTTTAAGCTGAAAGAGGGGAGGTTTAGATGAGATATTAGGAAGAAGTTCTTCACTGTGAGGGTGGTCAGACACTGGAACAGGTTGCCCAAGGAAGTTGTGGCTGCTCCTCCCTGGAAGTGTTGAAGGCCAGGTTGGATGAGGCTTTGAGCAACCTGGTCTAGTGGAAGGTGTCCCTGCTGCTGGCAGGGGGGTTGGGACTGGATGAGCTTTGAGGTCCCTTCCAACCCAGACCCTTCTATGATTATTATTTTTATTTCTTATAAAAAAGCATATTAAATGATGTCAGATCTGTTATTTACGTTAAAGGAGATCCAGTCTATACAAAATGACTCTTCCTTTGTAATAATGAAGTTCTTTTTCTTTCCCTCTCTCCCTTGTGGATTTACAGCCCTTTCTTCGCGTTGCCTACAGCTAATCGTACACTACATTCCTATTATCAGGGCTCATTTTGAAGCTCGACTGCAGCCGAAGCAGTTTAGCATGCTCAGGCATTTTGACCACATTACCAAGGTAATTCTTTTGGCATTTCCTAATTAGACACAAAGTTCTGCTTTTTCAACTCTGCTCTGAAGAATATGAATGCCATGAGATAGTAAATAAAAGCTGCTTTCTTCCATTACAGGATTATCACGACCACATAGCTGAAATTTCAGCAAAGCTCGTTGCCATAATGGATAGCTTATTTGACAAACTATTATCCAAGGTAATGATTTATGGAAATAATTATACACTCTCTAAATTGCAATTGGAGGTCTCATTGTTTACAGTCTGGATGTTTCAAACAGAGTCTTAAACTTTCCTAATCAGGACTTGTTTGAACGTCTTTTAAACTGTATAAACACAAAGCTCTGCGCTTGTACTTGTGAATGTGTTTTGTCTTAGATGTTTGCCACCTGGGTGTCATTCACCATAAAAAAATGTTGGTTTACTCCTTCGGGGGGAACAGAAATGCTTTGGCTGGCACAGATGCTCTGGTGTTTAGAAACTCAAGTGCTCTCCTACCCTCAGTGGTTTTATCTACCAAGAGCTCTTGTCTGCAGTCAGCCCGAGCCAGTTCCCGTTTCCTGCTCTTCCCAACGTTGCCTCTGTGGAAGTTGGGAGTGGGTAATTTCCTGCAGCTGAGGAAACAGCAAAAAAAAACTGCTGAGGAGGAAAAGTTTGTGGAGGGGAAGGAGCAGCCCGACTATTGAGCTGCATGCCTGGAGACTAGAGGTCTGCGCTGAGCAGCTCCTGCTGTGTAGCAGTGTGAAGAGCTGTCCCATCAAGTGCTCTGGGTGGTTTTTGGTTTCTGAACACTCAGAAGAGTAACAGGTTGGTCCTGGGCTGGATCTACTCGCTCTGACTCACCTCAAAGTGGACAGAGACTGTCCCAGGATGGGACCTCCTCAGCCCACAGATCCAGCAGATAAAGTAGATGAGCTTTTAAAGCTTAGTGTTTTGCTTTGGGGCTTTAAAAAAAAAAATAAATCAGCTATTCCATGAGAGAAATAAATTAATTCCTTAGTGACAGATTTAATTGATTGGCCTGGGCCAACCTCTTCCTTGTAGAAGCTCATGAGAAGCACAGCATCTCCATGGTGGAGCGCAGGCTGATGGGGATGTGGTGAGGCAGCTGTAACAACCAGCATTTCTGTCTTCCTTGCTGTTTCTACTATTTTATTGTTTATTTTATGTTGTGCTTTTTCTTTTCATCTGTTTCTTTGGGCTATCAAATAGTGTTACCTAAAATTAAGGGGGGGG